GTGTGTGTGTGTGTGTGTGTGTGTGTGGTGTCGTGGTTTCCAAGCCATGGAATAGCTCATTACGGACGTATTTGCTTACATTTAAAAAATAGTTTTATTTAATTTAGATATTTTTATATATAACGAATGATAAATTATAAAATATATTATCCGGAGTGATAATTTTTTAAAAATATAGGGTTTATGGTTTTTTGAATCAGGGGCCATGAACTTTTAATAGATTTATGATTTTGAATGTTGATGAATTTCAACTTGTTCTTGAGCTCAAGTATTTATTTGATGGAGGGCGAATAAAAAATTTATTTTTAATTAGGAATATATATATATATATATGTATGTATATATATATATATATGAAAAAAGTAAATAAATCACGTTACAAATAAACTAAACATACAAATTGAAATATAAAAGTAATCAATTTCTTATGAAATTTCAATCCCTTGGGAGGATCATTGTTGAATTCTGATTTTTTCATGGATCACAGAGAAGAAGTATAGCCTAAATAAGAAGAGAGAGAGAGAGAGAGAGAGAGAGAGAGAATGAATAATAATCTATCAAAATCTATCTTGTTTTATTTATAAAATGGTTCTTTTATTTATATAGTAGAGTATACATAATGATGATATTACATTTTGTTAATGATTTAAAAGGGTCCATATTAAGATATTTTTGATCTTTTACGTTAGGGCTTGTCGTTTGTCTTCTTTCTGACTTGTGGCTAAGCTTAATGAGCCAACAACTATATGTATTGCCTTCTCTATTTCAAGGGATAATTGTTAGTAAAGATGAAGAAAATTTTCCTAAGATGGAGTCTCATCGTGCCAAGGAGCTAATCTACATTAGTTCACTTAAGCGACAAACTGCTATCAGCAAGGGGCGGAGGTGCGTTCACAATTCTCCTCCCGTCGACCTGTGATAGAGCACGAATAACTTCATGCTTCCAGGGTAAAGGGGCTCTAATGGCCTCTCGGGCCTAGGGTAAAGGGGGTCCAACGACTTCTTACGCATGTTGTGTCGACGAGCCTGCAGTCAAGCCACCCACTTGCTTCCATCTTTCGCCCATTTCTTCTACGATGAAAGACCTCAAAGCAAGTCAAATGACCCCACTTCATCTGTCGGCTCCTCTCCGTTTCCTGGAAGTCATTTCTTTTTCTGCAGTTTACCCTCTGGCCCCCTCAGAGCTCTTCTTCCCTTCAGATTCTTTTTCGCCTTTGGATGGGATTGTGGCACAGACAATCCAAAAGCCCTCCTCATCATTTTCACGATAGGAACATCATCTAATGAATTTCATTACAATGCAATTCATTCACTTTCTCTTTCTCTTTCTCTTTCTCTTGCTATTTCTCTCTCGTCTGATACTCTATTCCTTAGTGTGATTCACAAACATATTCAGATTCAACAAAATTATAAATAATTTTTTTAATCCAATAAAACTTTATTTTAATATATAT